TGTGAAAAATACTACAAAGAATTCCTTTTGTGTGTCCTGTATATTGTTGGCTTTCTTTGAGTGCCTCAATCTTCACTTCAAGCCCAAGAAGCTCTTCTTGCAGCTGCCTCTTCAGCAGCCTTTTGGCTGGAATCAATTCAAGAATATATTCCACAAGAATGTTAGTGAGCATATATAGGAGGAGAAAATTCCACTACATACTCTTTGCAAGCCTTGCAACAATAAGTGAAATACCAAATCCCTGTGAGACAGATAAACACAGCAGGACCCAGTACAATTGCCCCAACATCCCGTATTCTTTTGTCACAGCAAGAATCATTATCACCCCCAGAAACTGACATATGTTTATTGTCAAAATCATTGGATGGGGGACTTATAAATTCTCCATTGTGATTGTGTGACTGTGAATGTATAAAGTTCTGTTCCTCAGAATTTGAGCCAGAAGCAAATTGGGTAGATATTCCTTTGTTTCTGGAAGATTTATAGATCTCAGCCATGTTGTCCATATCACTAGTGGCAGAAGCTTGGTGATCCATCAAGAGATTGATACCAATAAAAATCTGTCCAAACTTCATTGTGAGCTGACTGATGAATATATCAAGAGGAGTTTTAATAGATCAGTACTTGATAGATTCTTTGAAACATATCAAAATATTAAAGAGCCTTCAATATCAATATTTGGTCCTTGACCTCTCTGATAGGATTCAGGCAGTTCAATCCATTTCCATTTTATGTCCGCTTCTTATTGAAATTCCCTCTTATGTTTATCTATTTGGTGTTTCTCATTTCCATCAACTCCATCAAATTTGAACCAGTACCATGCCAAAAGCCAAATCAGTACTCAATAAGAATACTGCACTTGAAGCTCCACACTTTGGTCACACTCAGACTTAATTCTGTGTGGATGATTTGATCATGCAGAAGATTTTTGGAAAGAATTACAACTCATCATTCATGCCATAATCCTGAACTGTGGTGTTGAACAAGTATAATGTAACCTTCAAGTGTAATCTCAAGAAGGGACATATCAGGAATAACTATAATTGCATTTTAATTCTTTTCTTTTCAACTCTTGTTGACCATTTTTTTAATATCACATAGTTGAAGGTGTACATTGTCTTTCACACATTATACAGCTGTTTGCATAAACAATGCTGTCACCCTTTTTTCATTTTTTTCATTTTTCAAAGTTGCACTAAAAATTACCAACATAGATTCTACATAAGAGCTGTGGCAGGCTGTCCTCAACTTTTTCAAGGGTGCAAAGTTTGCCAAAGATCCTGAAGATCACAAGTATTGCTGCCTTTGTATCCAAAATGCACAAGCTTTCTCAACCTTTGGTATGATTGCAACCAAAGCTCAGCATCACAATGGACAACCCGGCACCAATAGGGCATGAAAGCGTTTTGAGCTTCATTCTGAAGCACTTCTAACCCCTCGGGCTAGACTTTGCATCCCGCCTCAAGACAACAATGTCCAACCGGCGCGCTCACATTACCCCACCGTGAGTAATCCAATTCGGAGAGGTTAGAAGGTGTGTATGTAATTGGAGAGGGGTGAAGACAAGTCAAAAGGTGGGATGAGATCAGGAAAGGGGATCTGCACATATGTCATACAACCTTTAAAATTCAGCACATCATGATCAACTACAGCTGCTCTTTATGTAGAACTATGTTGGTAATTTTTAGTGCAACTTAAAAAAAATAAAAAATAAAAAAGGGCAATGGCATTTTTTATGCAAACAGCTGTAATTGACTTTGGGTGTTGGTTGTGACAGGGATACTGGGATGGTCATCATTTGGCTAGTATTTTGGCCTGATTACGCATTGGTACATTGTTTCCCTTGCTTCTACTCAAACTTTTGCTGACTACATCTTGTCTTGAAAATTGTGGATGAATTCAAAAAGGGTGCTGTGATATACAAGACAAAGCCATCCTGGCTGTATAAACCCATTATTGGAACTCAGAATTTACCAGCCAATTTGATTCAAAACACACCACCTTCACCTAGCACTGTTCCAAACCCACCAGCCAATCCAATTCTAAACACACCAGATTCCCTACCCCTGTTCCAAACTTACCATCTGAAATGGGTCTCAAGGTAGGATTTGACATTTTTATATCATGTTTGGATGATAGCTGGCATGAGCTGATACAACTTTATCTTTTTGAATCTAGCCAGACATGACAATGTCAATCAAGCTAAAACTATGGCATTAGATGATATTGACCCAAATTTAGACCACCAACACAATCAAATTCTAATTCTCTACCCTTTATAATGTCTTTTCATCACCAATCTTTATAAATCTTTCATTTTGTGGTACGTCAATATCAAACAATATTCCCTGGATTCAGAGGTACAGGGATTTTTTCCCAAGTGTTGCAAATTGATACATAGTACCAGTTCTGTTTGAAAAAAAAACTTCCAACCATGTTTGTTGATCTTTCGCTTTTGTCTTTCTCTAAAAATCATCTTTCTTGCCCTAACACTCTACTCACTGAGCATAGATTGACTTGAATGGGTGATCAGCGACTTGAAGCTAAGTTGAAAAAGCACCAGATACTTCAAGTCAAGTGGCTCAATTTCAAAACTGTTTGGATTTCTTTCCATGAGATAGGGGTCAGCTCACAGCTCAAAATAAGCCACGTGGAATTGATTGTCTCTCACTAAGATAGATTGTCCACTATCAGTTTACACAAGAAAAGAAGTGAGACAAGCTTTGAAAATTGAGATATCATACATAACTTAGAAATGTATACCATAAGGAATTCTCAAGGAGTTGTCTTCGAGCTATGCAAACCTACAACTCACTTCGGTGGATGTAAGATGATAGATCTTTTACTAGATCACGACCACATCACAAGGTTTATTTCTACCGTCTGAATAATTAACTAGTAAATCTAGCTGGGCGAATCAATAAGGATTAAGTAAAAAACATACAACATGTTGAATAGACACTTTAATGCGAACATAAAATGAGAAAGAAGTGATGTTTTTTTTTGATTTTTTGTTCCTTATCTATTGAGGTGACAAGAGAAGAAATAATTTAATGATTAATAAAGATGAAAAGACAAAATGCAAAGGGGTCTTGATTTTTAGGAAGATACACATTATTTTTTTAGTTAGGGCCGTGTGGGGTAGATCCAGCTGCCAATCGTTTTTGATTTTCCATCTCATTCACCAATTTTTGTAATGCATCCAGTCCCGATTTCTTCAAGCTTCCAGTATCAGTAGTAGGTGAAAACACACGGCTAGGTTTAGGTGCCGGTAAGGAAGCAAGTGATCCAGGTCGAGATTCACTCTCAATTTCTAGTCCGTTATTCCTTCCCAATCCTCGCCGTTGAACACTCTCAAATTCCCCAGCACCAGTTTTTTGATCGACCCCGATGGGAACTCCGATTATGATTGATCTGACTGTTGGAACTCTAGACACTGAGCCTACCGACTCGTTACCATGATAAAGTGGAGGACGTCGTGGTGCAATCATTGGCCCTGTAGGACGACCTGGAAGGATCACCGGCATTGCGTCAATCTTCAACGCTCGTCTACTTGTCTCGGCTCCGTCCTCACTACCCTCGTCATCTGAACCTACATCTTCTTCGTCCCCATCCCTACTACTAGTTTCAGAGTCGCGCCTGAGACGAAACGTTGCAGCTGCCTCCGAGACTTCTGGGTTTGATGAAGGAGGATCGTCAAAGTGACTTCCGCTGAGAAAGGATTTTCTCTCCAGATGGGGAGTTTGGGCCAATTGCGCTACAAGTGACTCTCGAGTACCACCCTCGCTACGGACTCGAGATGAATTGGAGGATCCGGCAAGAGCATTGGCATATCGTCTGATGAATGGATGTTCATCCCATGCATTACGGTACAGCTCAGTCAAGTTGGCTTGGTCGATGGAAGGCTGTTGATCTTGTTGGTGGAGATGTGCATCATCACTGAACGCGTCGGAATTGTAACTTTGCATACGACTGCGGCTCTCGTCATTTTGCGGGACTTCCGTTTCTTCTGGAAAGACTCGAGAAGTTTTCCAGTTGCGTGAGGTTTGTTCCCAAGGGAAGATAGGCTTGACGGATTGCAAACTGGGAGAACTAGAAGTTATTTGACTATAATCCTGATGAGTGATTGGCGGAATATAACCTTTTGCTTGTGGCGGAGGTTGAAAGAATTGAGCAGCTTGATGTTGCACGGGTTGATCCCAAGCAGCTTCATAGCGCTTCGTGATGGGGTTGCTCATCTGGAAGCCTTGATTAGGCGGAGGGGATCGGGTCGCATCCCATGGTTGATGGTGATGTGATCCCGAATCAGATTTTTCATGATTTGAAGCGGTGGACGCCATATCTACCGAAGTTGATTGCACGGGGAACGAAGTCTCATCAACGGGGGATTCGGAGGGTTCCAGATGTCGCGGAGTTGTATCGGATTCGATGGGGTGATCGTCGCACGGTGCCGCAGGAAGTTCACTGACAGGCACTGATTCATAAGAGGAAGACATACTTGGTTCTCTATTTTTTCCTTTATCATCCCGAGTTTCAAATCCGTGTTGAGTAAGAAAGCGATGGGGCCTGCCAGGCAGAGGCATGCTCATATAGCTACCCTCACACCCGCCTTCATATACTTCGCCATGAAGAACGGGAATGGAACTAAGGTTGCTGTCTGTCTTTCTAGTAAACATTTGTTTCAATTTGTCAAACGACGGAGGCTCATATCGACTAGGCTTTTGACTGTCCCATTGAGCAGCGTATTTCGGAAATGCAAAGTCGTGCTCCGTGTAGGTCGAATCGGAAAGCTTGATGGGTCCATAGGCTCTTTCGTACACGTCGAACCATTTGTGTAGAAGTGCATCATAATCTACGGGGGGTAACCCTGTTGAGGACGCGAGTTGAGTCTGGGTTTTGAATTGACGTTTGCCTAGTAGATGCCAAGGCTTTTCTTGCCCAATGAAATGTATCATGAAGATATTTTTTCCAAATCGTCTATAAGCCGGGGCGTAACTAAAATCATTGTTGGTGCGGAAGACGGTCAACAATGGGTTTATAGCTACATCGCACGCAAGATCTACCAGTATGTGCTTGCTTACCTGTAATACGCGGATGGAGTGACATTATACGCGAAGCTGAGTCTATTCCACGTTGGACGTTGGGTTCCATCTTCGAATGTCTCATCATCACTACTGAAAAAATCATTCAAAACTCCCTGGTCCCCGCCATCCCAACTACCACGCTCGAAGAAGAAAGCATAGAGTCGATCGAATACATCTAGGTTTGGTTGAATGACCATAAGGCCGGAGTTGAAACAATCGGGCCAGCCAGTATCTGGAGAGGCCGAGAACTCATTCGGAAGTTGAAATAGGTGAGATATTGATTTGAGGATCAGGGTATCCGCATCAACATAGATGACCTTTTGATACTGGACTAGTCTCCATATATGTATCTTGGTGATGGTACCAGATAAATCCTGCCTGCCTGCTCAAAGAAAAACATGTGTCAATATGACTGAAGATCAAAAGTACAAAAGCCAAGGCGCAATCACATGCTGCAATGTAGCATTGAGAATCTGACGAGAAAAAGAACTCAGTCAGAGCAACTTACCGAGCAAGTTGAGCTCATCTTTGTTGGATGAGCTGATCGCATCAACTGAAATGACGAGGTTGTAGACTTTTCTGAGTGCTTTGATTGACTCGACGCTGACGGAGTCCAACGTGATCAGGCAGACAAGATCAAAGTCTTGAGCTGCGTTGTCTTTCTCCGATTGTTTAATCGAATGTGCCGTGACCAAGCAGCCAGGCAGATATGGATCACTGGCATAATTCATGCGGGTTAGCTGAATACTCTCTCGGTACAGATTTAGGTATTTGAGGTACTTACGAGGTGAGCATGGTGACAAATGCATATGGGGCCATTTTGAGTACTGTGATATCAAGGAGCGCTCGCTGGAATGTGAACAGGCTTTGAGTAGCTTCTTGAGTCGAGTGAAAAACTTGGATTAAACAGTGCTCGTATATTGAAAGTCACAAATTCACAATCAGAGATCTGGAAGACGTAGGGTTCTTGTTATCAAAAAGCTGTCTGAATGTAGTCCAATGCGAACAAGCCGATCGCAGGACAAACTTTTGGACTTGAGGAAATTTCAAAAGAAATTGAAACAAAGGATCGATACTGCTGCCAATCGAAACTGATGGGGCGTGGTCATCAAGAAGGTCAATTGTAAGTGTCACTCCTGCATGTGTTGGTTTCCCGGATGTGGGAGAACGGTCTACGAAGCTGATTGCGCATCCTCGTATGAGACAAGGAAGTGGGGATAGGGCATATATCTGTGCACTGACCCTATATGTATGATAAAGAACGGTCCCAAGCTGGAGTATGGAGTTTAATCAACGAGAATCATGCAGACCCTCAAGGCAAACAATTTTTAAGGCTGAACCACACTGACAGAATTGAGTGACTCCTTTGTTCCAAGATACAAATAAAAGAATACCGATTTGATTGACATCAGTTTACCATCGATTCAACAATGGGGAGAAAGTGCGGTTAAAAATCTTACTGAAGAGCTGGGGATACCGATGTCCCTTTGAAAAAGCAGCAGAAGTAAAAGTGAGAAGTTGATGGTGAGGAAGGTGGCAGTCCTTTCATCCAGATTGTTGTTTTAATAAAAAGAGAAAGACTTGAAATCTCAGTCAACCGTCAAATAAGTTAACAGCAGCTGACCACTCATCGTCGATTGATGACGTAGTTGAAAGATTTACACATGTCCTTCATACAGTCGTCCTGGACTACCCGAACACCACTTTGGACCACTCATTCACCGACGAATCACAGTTGCTTTCAAAGTTTAAGGCCCTGTTTGGCATGGCTTATAGATTTTATAAATGCATTATCAATTAATAGATTATGCAATTGTAAAACGTATTATTTTTGGAATTCACATTTCAACATTTGTAACCCGCGAGAAGCGGCTTTTCAAAGTCAAAATTGAAAGATGGTGTTTGGTACGTACCATTCACCATCTTTCAAAACTCAAAAGACATCATAATGTTCGATCCGTCCGATTTCAACGACTCGCGATCAATCGACTCGTCAATCGAGTACTCGTCGTCAATCAAAGACTTGGTTGACGACCCTCAAGTTCAAAAATCAAGATCCCAGAATACAAAGCTTGATCTCTTTGATCGAACTTCTTAACCACAACAATCAAATTTGATCTCATAGGATCGTAAAATTCAATTGAACTTCTTTTGTGAAGTGACTGATTCTTTCATCAACCTGATTGATAATCCAGAATCGGATTTGTTGAACAAAAAGAGCTCTTGACAATGATATCTGAAAGATAAACCAGCTATATGCGTTGATTCAAGAGTCTTGATCACGCTTTATGATGATGATGATGGTTATAATGATAAATATTTAATTTGAAAACAAGAATGAAATCAAAAATGAAGGTTAAACAAAGAGTCAAGTATAATGTGACTCAAAATTAATATAACGGTACTCAAAGTAACTAGGTGAAATCTACCTAGTTAGACCTAGTTGAGAAACCTAACTTCAAAAAGTAGGCACCAACCAGAAAAAGTAGGCGAGCACTCTTGTACTGCCGTGCCGGGTGCCCACTTTCAATTTTCTCAGTCATTGAGCCCCATCTGTCACCACACACACCATCTCACGCTCAGCATGTCAGATCAATTGCCACCATCTATTCCGGAAACCCTGTCTCCCGCTTCACCCACAACTGCTTTCCATAACTAAAGCTGGTGTTCCTCATGCCCAGGCTAGAAAGATGGCCAAAGCTTTTACTGACGGTTTGTAGTGAACCCTTCAACTCCTTACCTCATGAATACACGAGATTACACAGGTTATTTTTTATTGTCCCCTCTCAGTACAAACAATTGAAACCACAAAAATTACTCTTTTACCTCATTCACAACAAATAAAAACCAATAAAAAACAATTTTTCACTCTTAATTCTCTTGATTTTGATACCAAAGACACAAAAGACTCTTATAGTCATGTTTTTTATTTTCCTTTTACTCTGAAATGAAAACTATGATGCTTATATGTGGAAAATTTATCTATTTGAGAGTGATTAGTGTGAGTAGGTGTGAGTTATGATCTGAACCGGTGAGAAGTGTGACAATTGCTTGTTTTTTAAATCGATCGATCGTTCAAAATTTGTTATTGTTTTCGTGTATTTCTTGGTATATTTTTGTGAATCTCTGAAATGAAGACTTGAATAAAATTGAATAGAAGCCTGAGGGGAGAGGGATTGAGTCAACTCCCTCTTAAGACAGAGTTGAATCAATCGATCGTTTTGAAAATGATTGATATCTGAGCACGTGTTTCAAGTTGAATTTGATCAGTTGCATTCCAACTATCAGCGAGGGCTTGGGGAATAGAGTGAATGACTTACGATTGGTAAAAACATTTCAGGATTGATCAGGCCCATAAATGTAGAGATGACTGTTTGTGCGGACGAAAGGGCGAGTTCATTCACCTTCACCAAACTTTCATTCCAATGACCTAACAAAACTCAAAAAGAAACATGTTTAACAATAAGGAAGTTGTTCAAAGCCCAAACAAGGGAGTCGATGGAGACCAGTAGGGCTTTGTTGGAGTTATTGATTAAGATTTCCGATGCTGTTTTCATGATGTTGAGGTGGAGGTAGGCATATAAGCCAATGTAAGACGGAGGTTGTGAGGTGGAATAAATGGTAGATAAGACCTTTCCGGAGGCTTGGACTAGATCTACGGCCAGACCTTGCCGGAGGCCAATGCAAGGCATTATGTGACAGAGGCTAAAGATATGGTAAAAGCAGGCACGGGGTCCTCAAAGCTGCCCAGTTGGCAAAAACATACTTTAAAAAAAAATCCCCGCCAAAAGAAAAAAGTAGGTTCTAGGTTTCAAAGTAGTCAGAAACCACCTAGTTACTTTGAGTACCGTTTATGTATATAGATTTGAGAAGACGTTTATAAACAAGATGATGATAAATGCTTTAGTGATGTGTGAGTCAATATGATAGGTGAATAGATTCCAGGAGATTCCTTGTTTAAGTTCTTCATGTTGATGATGTAAGAGAGAAAGTCTCAAGAATGATAAATGAAAGTCGAGTCAAAAATAAACCAAAAAACTTTGTACTTGTCTAAATTTCAAGAGAAAAGTTGCCTTGGGTTGCCTTGATCCTGCCGAGGGTCGAGTTCGAAGGCTTGTCCGGGTTTTGATAATGGATTATTGGATTTTGAAAGCTGCTCGAGGGCAGCTTTCAAAATGTCATATTTTTGATCAAAATAATGGATTATTGTCGGTGTAATTCATTTTTAAAAAAGGGGCAAAAGTGGTAACAAACACAATTTTTTGAAAATGTGAAAAATAGATTATTTTCAAAAAATAATGCATTTTGCCCCGCTTTTGTAAGCCATACCAAACGGGGCCTAAGACACCAGCGAGTGGATGAATTCACTGATATCCTATCTATCATCGGTTCAGGATTGTATTGACTGATGAGTTATATAGTCATCTTCTTTCTTTCTTCTCCCGTGATCTAAAGTGCTTTTGGAGCTACAGAAAGCTATCAAACACTTCGGCAAATTGTAATCAATCAATTAACCATACTCTACATGACACTGGAAATGAATTCCAGCTTGGCGATCGAAGGTGTGTCATTGTGCGGTGTGCTCAAAGCTGCTAAAAGTCAACATGAAGCCCGGCCTTGCCCGTTTCTCTTGGCTGGGACAGGCTAGGACAGACTGGGATTCGCCTGGGAGAAGAGTAAAAACTGCATTCTCAAAGATACATTAGCAGAAACCATGCAATATCTGGGAATACGTTCCAGGCGGATTGTGAAGCATTTTGAAGCAAAGCAATGTTTGTTCACCATGTCCTTCCTCTAGGATATCAGAGACTCGTGCAGGTCTGAACATAGTGGTGAACCATTGCTGGTAGCGTTTTTGTATGTGAACACATTCTGCTTAGGGAAGATACTTGATATGGAAGGCCCCGGAGTCTTTCATACTTGCAACAGGAGCTTTGCTCTGACCTGACCAAGTCTCTGCAGACAATCAGTGCAAGCTTGGGTCTCTATGACCAAAGTTTGCGAGGTTTGAAGTGCCCTACACGCTACAATGATCGATTGGTGCTTTGGCCAAATTAAATGAAATGACTTTTTGGAGCCTTGTCGACTCAGCCATTGCTCATAAACAACATACACTTGAGACACCCACAAATTTGTTAGCATGGATTGGCTTTCATTGTGAACATCATATGGCCCACGAGCAGATCAAATTCACCTAAATTAATCTTTTTTGTATGTAGGGTCTTGATGCTGGGTGAAAGGGATTAAATTCGCCCCAAGATAGCTACGAGTTCCCTTGTTTCCTCACCCTCTGTCTTTCAAGATCAAAACACAGCTTCTGTCTCTTGTCAACGGTTGATGGCCGGAAGACAAAAGTTGGTTTGGGGTTGAAGTTTCTCTGCCTCATAAAAGTAATTCACAACTGGTGGCTGGAGCTCTTGAAGTGTTAACCAAGGTTATTTCTGAATGATATCACAAGGTCCTTAGTGGTTTTGGAATTCTAAACCGCTGGAAGCATCCATAGCAGTAGACACCCCAAGCACAACTGTGATTGCAGCATACCAGATCATATTGAAAAAAGAAATCTGATGGGACAATGCAACACTGGGTCAGCTAAGCTCGCCGGAGCTGAGGCGCAGCGGAGCGGAGCGGTTTTTGGACCCCGCTGCGCCACTCGGGAGCGTAGCTCTTTCTAGAACCGAACCGCAGAGCTACGGGTTCCGGCAAAGAGGGATTTTTTTCAAAAAGCTACGCTGCGGCACGGGTAGCACCGTTATCCGGCACCGTGAGCTCCCGTGCCGGGGTCAAATTGCCCAATCAGATGAAACACTACTAATTTCCTAATTTGGCACCTCTACGGCACTAAACGATCACGCAAGGATGCTTCATTCCTCGATCTGGACAGATTATCGACGCATGCGGCGTCACCCACCGGCCAGAGATTCAATGGCAATGATATATTTCATGAAGGTAAGTTTCAACCCTGTCTCTACCGCTTTCTCCCTCATCCCACTCTTTATTTGATTCAAGATAATTCAATCTTACTTACAACTTTTCACCGACTCTTTTATTCTTTATAACTTTTCCTTCATAACTTTTCCTTTACCTCTCCTATATATAGCATACTCGTACTATGTCCTCTGTCACTTCGGAACGTCTAGCGCGGTCTCGCACACAGACCAGCAACCCTGGAATGATCCCTCAGAGTCCCCATCTACGCCGTCGAACTTTGATCAAAAGCATCATCCAAACCAAGCTCCAGTCTAACAAACGGAAGAATAAATGGGCCAATTCTGTAACCCTCAACACCTCTGATGAAGAGTCTGTGGCTGGGGTGGTTGAATCGGAAGGAAGCTTGAAATCGGTGGTCGTCAGGCAGAAGAAATCAAAGCCGAAGCAGCGATCAAAACCAACCGTAAGTCCGTTCAATAGATATTCTTATATACATCTAACACTAACTTCTTCATAATTTTTGACTTTGACCCAGAACCACGCACCAGGGAATGTCACAAGAGACATGATGTGAGCCGATTCTGACGAAGATAATCAGAAGATTATCTCGAAGAGGCGCAAGGTTGAAAATGGCGACAGCAAGGTTGTTATATTGAGGTCTTACTATGACACGCCCTTCCACGGAAAAGACAAGAAAGGCAAGCCTGATGTAAGCTCAACATTCCTGTGTTTTAGTTTTATGTATCCTTTTTGATTCATTCTCATCTTCTCTTATCCATCTGCATCTAGGATCCAACCAAGGCGCCTCTCTTGTACCCATGTAAATTCTGTGATCGAGACAAGCACGATCCAGTCAGGGTGAGCTTAAGCAACCTCACTGGAAATCTTTGAGTCCATCGAGATGGATCCACTCAAGACGGTCGATCAGATGTTGGCTGTCCTGGCCGACTCAAAGCTCGACAGCAAGATCCATCACTCGTTCCCCCCTCAGTCGCTGAAATCCGCAAATCCCAAAAAGCAAAAGGCCCAATTGACGGTTATGTAGTCTCCACCCCAGCCACTACATTCTCTAACCTCACTCTCAACCAAATGGTTTGTACTTGGCTCATTCGCCAAGCTCAACCATGGAATCGGATCGAAGACTGTATCTTACGAGGCATTGTCCAGTACTTACGAAAAGACGCTCACTTGTACGGTCGACACTGGGCTGCCGATGAGGCGAAGCAGATTAACTTGTCACTCAAACAAAATGTCTTCTCGGAATTGAAGGTGAGCAATTTATTTACTACCAGATAACCAGTAACTGATAGCTAACTTTGTGTTTTTAATACTTCCAGGGTCTCAAGTCAAAGTTCAGCTTAGTCCACAACGGTTGGACCACCAAGGGAAACCGCCACGCCTTCATTGGGGCGGCTGTCACTTTTATAGATGACGACTGGAAGTACCGAGTGCGTCACCTCGCCCTCAAGTTGATTGTATGGCATCACCACGGACCTTGGCTTGCCGAGCCGGTGGTCAACATCTTGGTTAAGCATGGGCTGTTCCAAAAGATAAGTACATTTATTTTTTTCCAATTAAATTAGAACTAATATTTTATGTTTATGGTTTTACATGCTTAGTCAGACCACTGATTTGGGTTCAAATAACAAGACGATGGCGCAAGAAATGCACAAACAATTCTTGGTCCAAGACGATATCACCTCTTACAAGTGGAATCCAAATAGTATGCACATATTCTGTTTTTGTCACAAGATTGCGTTGATTGTCAACGCAGGCTTGGCAGCCTTAGGTGTGAAAGCACCTCCACCTATGAAGGCAAAGGAAAACGATCGAGGATGATTCCCTCTCTTCGAGTCTATTGCTGAAGAAGACGAAGAACTTCCTGAAGAACCACAAACCAATCCGAAAGTTCGTGTGCGATCCAACTTAGCTGAATCCGAAGACCAAGATCCTGAACATGACTTACAAGATCTTGATACATCACCGGAAGTAGTTGCTGAACTTGATGATGAGGGCGAGTGGGACTTGGCTGATGCTGAAGATGAGGCTTGTCCAGAGCTCACAATTGAAGAGAACGAAGTACAACCCACCCACCGTCGAGAAGCAAATCATGTGGATTTTATTTTGCGCAAGGTAAGTTGAACTTACCTACACCCTGTCTTACAAAACTATGACTGATTCTTTCTCTCGTTTTTAAGGTGGACTTCATCGTACGCCGAATTACTTGGTCTGCAGCCTGGCGCAAAGAATTCGAGAGAGTTAGTAAGCAGAAGGGGTTTAATGGCTCGCTCATTGCGGGCTACGGAATCAGATGGAACATTAAATATGTTAGCCGTCACAAAGCTTGGCTTGCCAGAGATGTAAGTACTTTCATTCTCTTACACAAAGCAATAACAACTTTGACTGACCATGAACATGATTTCAAGGTCATCGATCAATTATGTCGAGATGACTTGAATATAGTTCACTCTAAGAATCTCGCTCCTTGTAAGAATAAGAAGCCTCATGGGTATTTCCATGAATTAGAAATGACTACAACCGAATGGGCTCAAGTCCGCAAGATCAACGACGAGCTTGAGGTAAGTGTCTTAATTAATTTTTATCTATTTATCTTCTTCATTCTTTCTCATTAATCACTTTCGTCTCTCATCCATCTTCATGTTCTTTCTACAAGCCTTTCTTGAAGATTACCCTAGCAATGGAAGGTGACGGACCAACAGGTTGTATGGTCATCCCGAAATACGTGGAGCTGCAAAACTCACTCGAAAAGAAGATCGAGCCACTCAGCACTTCGGACGCCCTTTACCCAATGCTTGCAAGGATGAAGGAAAAAACGATTGAATATCTCAACGAAGCACTTGGGTGCGAGACCCTAGTGATGGCTACGGTTTTACATCCATTTTTCAGACTCAAGTTTTTTGTTAAATGGTTTGGGGCCGATTCTGCTGTAACCATGAACGCTGAAGCAACCCTTCGATGTATACATCAGGAATAGGAATACGAGCTGGCAGGCCCTGTTAACAACAAAACTTCTTCCCAACAAGCAAAAGCCTCAAAGGATGCTGCAACATCCTCTCCAAAGCCGGATATCTTTTACAGTGACTCTGAAGATGAACCCGAGGTTGAAGCATCTGAAGATTTCGCTTTAAAGAATTATCTACGCGGTAGTGATAAGATGAAGGCCAATACTTACAATATTCAAGATCCCAAAGCGAGTCTGGAATGGTGGAAAGTGAGTCTATTCTGTCAATCTCATTCATTTTGCCCTGGAAAACATGACTAATTATGTTGATCGTTGTCTAAATCTGTTTGATAGGTCCATGAGAGAACTTATCGAGTGCTTGTGCGTATGGCCAAGGACTACTTGGCATCAACTGGCTCTTCCTGTGCTGCAGAACGGATATTTTCTTGCGCGTCAGACGTCTGCTGTTCTAGTCGAGGTAGTTTAATAGCTCGTACCATAGAGATGCTTGTGTCAAGCAAATTATGGTTGAGAGAAGGTGTGGAGCTGGGTGTAGGTTTTGAAGACCTTCTGAAGGTCTTCAAGATGATGGGGATTCCCATGAATTGAAGAAATTTGGTACTTCTGTAATTTCCCGTTTATTATTTTGTTATTTATCTTCTTGACTCTCATTAAGAATAGTTTGTTTAAAAATTCTTTACACTCGTTATGATCACTTCAGGTTTATTTTTCCTTCCTTTCAATTATTTCAGTTATATTTTGTTTTCCTTATGCACTACGGTTTTGGCCGTGTAGCTGTAGCTGTGACGTGTGTCGCAGTGTGCCTCCAAAAAGCCGCGAACGCAGCTGTTAACGCCCGGAGCGTAGCTCTTAGGAGCTGCGCTACGGGGATCTAGCCACTCTTTTTGCCTTAAAAAAGCTGCGTTAACGCCATGACGGAGCGAGACAGTTTGTCAATCAGCTGCGTTTGCGGCTAACTGGCCGTTAGCGCGTTGCAGCGCAGCTTACCCAGTGTTGGCAAGGCCGCCACAGATACGTACTGGTACCGCAAGATACCCAAAACTGTGGTATGTGATATCGTACCTTGCCTGTGGTACGGTACCAAGAACCGTACCGTCGCCTACGGCACCATAAAACACATGGCTGGTTGCCGTATCCTCATACTCAAAACGGTACGATACTATACCGTACCGTGAGAAACACACACGAATACGGTACGTTATCGTACCGCGCAGAAAAGTGCCGTACCGTGTATTTTTGTATAACCATGGCACAAATGACACGCACAACATCCAAGAAACAAGGGAGGGAGGATACAGAAAAGAAACAGGACCCATACATAGGGAAACAAAATAACACCACCATACATAGATTCAAAACCTCATTTCCTTCTCTCGCGCGCACCTTGGTCCCTAGCGATACAATCTATCATGTTCTCTTGTGCCGTTTCCAACTTCCCCTTCATCTGCACACCTTGTACAGACCACAATCGTCCTCCAACTGTGCGCTCGATGGTTCGTGGCTTGAGAGCCATCCTATCCTGTGAGCAAACATCAGCAGAAGAAGAAAATGACCTCTCAACTGGGCATGCAGTGGCACTGATAGCCAAGTAGTCGCGGGCAAGCGAGCTTAAGACTGGGTATTTGCCCTCGTTCAGCTGAACATACATTCAAGATGAGTCAGATATATTGTAATTAAAACTTGAGTTTTCGCATTTAGAGGAGAAATAAACGAACTTTCCACCAATCCAAAGCCCCATGAGGGTTCTTGGCCACCTCAGGCGCGGGGTCCTCGGCCATCTCTAAGTAGGATCAAAGTTCGTTGGCCGTGTTTCGGCAGTTCCGTTCCTTGTGCTTGCGGAACTCCTCATCTTCTTCATTTAATTTCTTGCTGTGACCCGCTGATTGACCAGTGGCTGCATGAGGATTATTAATTCCATCCTCCTCCATTTCAGCCTTGCGTTGGGTGTAAGCATTGTCAATCAGTACCTTAGCAATGTTTGATTGTTCGGAACCGGATCCAAAGGCGAAATCAAAGTAATCCAATCGTAAGCTTGGATGCAAAACCGTCGCAAGGATGAGTATATTCGATTTGAGAGCTTCCTCAAGGTATGACTTGACTCGCACCAGCATGGCGTGGTGCATGGGGAAAAGGGGATCGGCTCGAGATTTGGTGGCATCAATCTTCTTTTGAAGCATCTTACGGAGCTTAACGTACTCGCGTATTGCTACTGAGGCGGTGGGTCCGTCTTGTTCGAAATATTTGGTCAAAGTTTCGAACTCCTACATATAATTTTAGGGAAATAATTCGATTTGTACCCAAGCATTCAAAAATCAATTAAATGTCAATTGAATTAAAAAAAAAACATAACAGACAGGAATTTACTAACCTGAAGCAGTTCCATGATATCTCTTACTTGTCTCCATTCATCAGGAGAGATCATGACCTTGTTGAATATGCCTCGAGGGCGATTGACATCTGGAGGTAAAACAGTCTTGCCGGCCCGAGTGGTTTGACCTCGGCGAGGTGGGTCCATCTGGTCCTCTTTGAGAATTTGATCAATCACCTAGGTAATGATGGAAGGTACAAAATAAGTTTTGGAGGCACAACCAATAAAGATTAATACTGTGATAGATTAGTACTCACCTCACGCGCATTGTATAACCGAGTCCAACACTGTAGTTTGATATTCCAACGAATACCGTAACCAGGGATTGGACGCGGAAGTTTTTGCTTTGAAAGTGCCATACTGACCGCATCAAACAGCATACACATTACTGCCGAGCCACCGATTTTACGCCCTACAACATCAAGCTATGGGAACAAACATTTATTAGTTATTAGTAGTGTTAAGGAATAATGAAACGTATTCCTGTTGACTGACCTTCGTTGTGAGTAAGTGGACGGCATTGGCTGCTGTGCGGTCCGTAGCAGAGACCTCTTTGACATCGTGTGGGCCATCAATCACCTCATACCAATGAGGAGCCTCTTCAGCAACTTGCATGTCACCATCATCGATTTCCCCGTCAGAGTCGGATTGGACATCAGATTCATGTTCGGCCTCACCGGTCTCGTCTTCTTCGATGACAGTCTGTAGAGTGTTGGTTGGAACTGGGAAGTCGCCCAGCATAGACGATTTGACCAAAGGAGGAGGAGGCGCCTGGATTCCAAGTGCTTGGAGACCGGCGTTAACAATTAGCGCTAGTTTGTGACATACACATCTTACCCTGTCGGTCGTAGCACTCCAAGTGAAATCCTGATTGTGATCCTGACAGTACTTGCTCAATCTGACTTCCATCGCTTGCGCCAGTGTGTTGTTATTGCTGCCGGAGTCGTGGGTTTGTGCTAACATGTGGATATATAAGAAAAGGTAAAAATTAATGAACATAAAAGATCAATGAGAAAATATAAATCAAAATTGAAGATAAGAGAGACATATCTTATTATGTAAACCGTGTTTTGTCAGAAGATTAATTAAAGGTTCGGCCAGCCATTCACCTTTATGGTGCCAGGCTATGAGTTTGAGAGCAAAGTGTCGTGTTACGAATTTCCAGTCCGCGGTGATGTATGTGACACAGGCACCGATAAATCCGTACCGGTTACCTTTGGTCGTCCAGGCATCGTGGATGAGACCGAAGGAACTTTTGAGGGCCTGAAGATGTTTACAAACAAACAGAAACGATGAACAGAGTGAGTAAAGAATTATCAGAGGAAAGAGACGACAGTAGACCTTACTTTTAAATCACCAATTACTACCGCTCGTAACTCCAGGTATGCCTCATGGGCAAACCTTGCAACCCAAGTCCTTCCAAAAATTTGAGCATTCGGATTTGCATAACGGAAACATGCCCTTAAATAGGAATCTTCCACGCGAGCCCAAGGTTGGGCAGTTCGAAGCACCCAAATTCCGATCATCTGATTAAGAGTTCTGTTGTCAAACTTGGTAACTTTCTGAGCGTATGACATGATTGAAGTTTGTCCTTTAGTTGTTTCGACATGTGCTCGTTGTTTGAAGATGGTGAGGGGTAATTTACACCCTTGTTCGATGGCAAGGTGCCTTTCCTTACAGCCAGGCTTGCCAGATTTACCGGCCTGTTTTGAGCCGTCACGATGGGTCCACATATTGGATGTAGAACCAGCAACGGATCAAACTAGAGTTTCACAGTATCGGCATGCGTAGTATGTGCGCTCGCCCGGCCCCTGTGATTGCAGCGAAATGAGAGATTGGTAGTTAAGATTGATATGAGCGGAACAATTAGAGTGGTGGGAAACGAAAGATACTTACATCTTTAGGACCTTCTTCTGCCTCATCCATGTAGTATTCACGTAGAGGGTCAAAAGTTGGCTTCGGTTTCTTGACTCCTTTGTCGAGGACCTTGTTGTTTTCCTCATCCGAGTCTTGAGTAAGATTGATCTCAAGGTGTAACTGAGTAATTTGATTAGGAGCATCCGACTCTTCGTTTCTTGGACGAGTAATGAATTTGGAAGGTTGTGAAAGTCGTTTGGCTGGAGCCTTTGCTTTAGCTTTACCTCAAGCATCAGATTTGGAGGCCTGGCGTGCTTTCTTTGGAACTCGTGGCATAGGAGAATGAGATTGATCAAGCTGGGAATGATCGATTTCTGCGTCGGAATCATAGTCATTGTCGACATGCTTGCGCTTTGATGAACCTGAGGCGGCAGGAGCAGTTTCGATGTCATCAGTGGCACGACGCATCGCACGGCGAGAATCGGACGGTGAGGCTAGCATGGAAGAAGGTCTCCTTAACGGAGAAGGTCGAGTACTGCGCCGATAAGAAGGGTGGTTGACTAATGACGACAATGACATGTTTAACGAGCTGATTCGAAATAGATAAATGGAAATATGAGGGTTTGATGGTGAAAGAAAATGATTTATTAATATAGAAACGGAATAATAAAAGAAGAGAAAATAACGAACTTGATGAAGTAGTGACAGAGACCGCTCATATAGCGTCTCGCCACCCTTGCGTGGTTCGATTTCCATAGCCATAGATGTTCCATATTGTCGAGATTGGGACTAACGATGAAAGATATGATGCATTGGGTGACTTATGCCCAATGCAGGTATATCGAGGGGGAAGAAGATGGAATGGACAGACGAATCTGTCCAGAAACGAAGACCTGGGCCAGAGGGCTTACCTGTAACCCAAGTCCTCGCAAAACCGGGCACGGTACTGTTACCGTATCCGCCTTTGCGGTACTTGGGTTACAGGTATCTGGTATCGTACCCTAGGTAGATTACGGTACGCAATACCGTACTCGTGCCTTCGGTACCATCCGACAGGGAGCCAAGGTGCCGTACCCCTTTCGCCGGGTACGATAACCTGATTACGATACTCCGCCAGAGGGGTACGGTACGGTGCGGTACCGGTACTGGCACCGTATCTGGGGCGGCCTTGGTGTTGGACAATGTCATGATTTTGCTCCCATTGACACCATGAACTAAGAAATGCCTTTGTTTTCAGTGTACTTGATGCCTTTTCTTCAATCACGCCAAGAGCCTGAGGCCTTCTCTATGAGGTCACTCAGACACCCATCTGCACAAGTTGGTCAACACTACCAACATAGATGCCTTGGGTTGAGAAATCCAAGGCATCATTGGAGGCAAATCCTCAAATAGACTTTGTCTGAGGTTTTGATCTGAGGTATTACAATTTTGCACTGAGAAGTACCTTGGATGAAAATCTCAGAAAGGTTCCATGAAATGATGTGAGACACAGAAGAAATTTGACGTGTGTAACCTGGACAGACAGGTTATGGATGAGTTTTAAGACTCAAAGAAAGATGCATGAAAGACTGGCGGAGATAGTCAACACCTTACCTGCAAGTGAGCAGGAGGAAAGAGTGGTAGGGAGGTTCTAAGCTTCCAAGTTCCACACAATCATAGTATTCTACTTCAAGAAAATAGTAAACAGAAAAGAAATTCAAAAGAACACAAGATTTACCATGGATGAGTTTTAACAACCCTGGGCCAGCAACGCAGGTGTTGTGTGCTGCGCTGCGCCTGCGTTGCAGTTTTTCTGACCGCACCGCAACTTAGAATCAATTTCTAGGTTGTGGCCTGACACGCCGCGCAACAAGATCTGTCAAATTGAGGTTTTGTTGGGCCACAACAACATTTGTTGTGTTGCTGCCCAAAAAATCACAATTTGATGTTTTTTTGGAGCTGTTGCGCAATGGTCAAGGCACCACGCAATCTGACCTCACCTTTTGTTATTGCGGTACTTACCGCAACACAGTGTCAAATGCTGGTTTTTGTTGTGTGTTGCGTGTTGCAGAGCAACACACCAAAAAAACACGTGTGTGGCGGCGCTGTGCGTTTCTGGCACAGGGTTGGTTTTCAGACTCAAAAAAAGATGCGCAAAAGACTGGCGGAGATAGTTGACGCCTTACCTGCGAGTGAGCAGGAGGAAAGAGTGGTAGGGAGGTCTATTGTAACACATGAGCACTCATCCAGGAAGTGAAATATAGAAAGAACAGAAAAAGAGAAGTAAGGAAAAGGTGTGTACTCTAAGCTTCCAAGTTCCACACAATGAGGGGGGACAAGGAGCTCAAGAGACCCTGGGTATAAAAGAGAAAGACAACTCGTGCACAATTTTCACTCTGAAGCAAGGGGAGACAAGGATACAGACTAGACACACGTACACACTCATTTGGGAGAGCCTACACACACAGTGTTCCAAAAAGGGAAACATTTGATACAAATTGAAGATGCCTTTTTCCACCACATTGGCCTGAATGTGGGAGGTTTGATTTCCTAATCGGGATGGACTTGCCTACCTAGGATAATATCATAAAATTCCATCCAAGGGTTGGGATCCAAGGATATCTGGGATTGAGAAATCCGAGGTTAATATGTTGGTGGTGCAGGTTTACACAAAAATTTTGACAGACTAGCCATATATCTCTATTAACCCATACATGGGACCCCCTTGTTGGCCAGAAAGTGTTATGATGTGATAGTATGGATGTTGTGTGTTACAAGGTTATGACATCATAGTGTTATGCTAATACATGTTTCTCTCTTATAATATGTTTATAACCAAATTGTTGTTAGGTATATATATTATAGATTGGTTGTCATGATGGATTGGTTTCTTCTTCACCTTTCCTATTCATTCTAATCTTTCTATTCTAGGTAAGTTTATCACTACTATGAAATACTACCTTTCCTATTCATTCTAATCTTTCTATTCTAGTCCGTGATCCATCTTATCAGGTTGTGAGCCCATCTCGTGAAGATTATAAGATAATCACACTTTGAATAGTCGGTTTCGAAGACTATCAAATCTCCGATACGTCTAGAAAACCGTTCTAGAAAACCTTGGAAAGGTCCGTCAACGATACAGACGATAAAGTTCTAATTGATCGACATAATACAAACTCCGAACTGTACTACTGCATTCATCTTCAAATACATGCAGTGTTATAAGGTTCTTCTCATCTTAATCTTATTTGTATTCAATCAATTCTTCTTCATGTCTAATCCTAGTGCTACAGCTGGTGATAAGACCACTTCGACTTCATCTAAATCTCCTGGAACGACTCAACAACAAACCGGTCAACAGCAAACCGGTCGGTCTGAGTTAAAACCACCGATCACCATGACTTACAACAATGAAAAGTTGGAAGCCACTGGTGTGAAACCGTTGGAAGCTCCCGGTGAATCTTCGAACTATCATTATTGGCAATTCGTCATTGGTACAGTTATTAGAGGTTCCTCTTTTGGTTATGTCATACGCGATGTTCAACCTAATCCATTACCGGCGTCTAATGAACACGATTGATGTAAAGTTTCGGCATTAATCTTGAGATATGTAACCGAAGCGAACATCGAATTTCTTTCGCCATATCCGGATGATCCATTAAATCAATGGAAAGCATTGCGTGAAGCGCATCAAGATGCTTCATCAGGATCGGTCATGTTCTGGTTAAAAAAGCTTGTCACCGCTAAAATGGGTGATTCGTCCATCACGTCTCATCTCGAAACCATGGCTGCCGATTACCAACGTTTCAAATCTTTGGTTACTCCTGAAAGACCTCTTACTGCCGATACAATCTTCGCAACGGCAGTTAGTCTTTCATTAACTGCGGACTGGCAACCGGTATTACATCCTCTCCTTCAACGAGACTCGGTTACTTCTACTACGATCTTAAAGGTCCTGAGAGAAGAAGCTACTCGTCGATCTATCTCTTCAGATTCTGTTGAAGAAATTTCATCTGCTAGAAATGAAGAAAAGAACAAGGAAAAGGAAGTAATTTGTTCTCATTGCAAGAAGCCTAATCATAAGATGGAGGACTGCAGATTTTTGAAATCGTTAATTGAAAAATACAAGATCTTAAAAGCTGAAAAGAATGAAAATGATCAAGTTAAATCGAAACCTTCTAAAAATCAAGTGAAACGATCAAAAGCTAAGGCTAAAGCGGCGCGAATTTCCTCTGACTCAGATGTTTCGATTGATATCAACTCTGAAATATCGGCATCTGCGACTGTGAAAGCTTCTGCTGTCAAATCAGACAGCTGGTTGGTTGATTCTGGTACGAGTCAAATCATGACACCATTTTCACAAACTCTCTCTAATCGAAAGTCAGATGGTACCATGATCAGTCTTGCAAATGGCTCTACTGTCAATGCAGTCTCAAAAGGTTTAGTGGAATTACCATTCACTAACTTTAAAGACATCAAATCATTATATGTCCCGACTCTATCCGAACCTCTTCTTTCGGTTTCAAAATTGGCTGACAAGAAAATCTCAACTGTTTTTGATGCTTCAACTGTTTCATTTGTTAAAAATTTAAAATTTACCGGTGAAACTGTTGGAACTGGAGAACGAAGCGGAAATTTATATTATCTTAATCAAAAAGTAGGTAATTTGAATTCTACCGATCATACTTCGAAAGCTTCGGTTTCTGACGTTGAACTCTGGCATCGTCGTTTCAATCATCCCGGATATGCAGCTTTGAAAAGAAAATTATCATTGTTGAAAATCAAAGTTGATGAATCTGAGTTGCGAAAATTACATTCTTGTAAGATTTGTATACAAGGAAAAATGAGGCGTAGAAATATGTCCAGTCGAGCTGGGTGGAGATCTAAGAAACCTCTAAGTGTGATTCATTCCGACGTGTCTTCTTATTCTGTTGGATCAAGAAAAGGCTATAAATACTTTGTTACATTTATTGATGACTATACAAAGTATACTAAAGTTTATTTGATGCAATCAAAAGATCAAGTTTTATCAAAATTCAAATTGTTCTATAATGAGATGACAAATAAGGTTGATGGAATTATTGCTGAGTTAAGAACAGATAATGGCACTGAGTACATCAATTCAGAATTTTCGAAGTATTGTGCGGAAAAAGGCATTCTACAAACAACCGGTCCTCCTGATTCACCACAACTTAACGGTGTATCTGAAAGGTGGAACAGAACGATTAAAGAAAAAGTTCGTTGTTGTTTAATCGAAGCACATTTGCCTGATCGATTCTGGGGGGATGCTTTGGAATATGCAACAGAGACGCTGAACAATATGCCAACTAGGACGAATGATAAGTTTCAAACACCAATTTCTTTAATGGGTATTCGTGAACGTCAAGAACATACTTTTCATGCATTTGGTTGTCAAGTATGGTATCACGTTATAAAACCAATGTCGACACTTAAGCCAAGAGCTAAATCTGCTATTTTTCTCTCATATTTAATCAACAATGAGGGTGCTATAGTTTGGGATGTTGAAAAGAAATGTGCTCTCAAAGCAACTTCTTTGATATTCCTCGATAAAGTTTTTCCTGGATTAGATTCAGATTCTTTATTACCAGTGCCTAGTGAAGAAAGTTCACTTCCTTGGCCAACACTAGAAGAACATTCGATTCCTACTGAAGACTCAATTCCTTCTAATGATCCTTCTCAAGAACCTTCACCACTTCAACAAATCTATACTCGACCATTTCGCTCACGCAAACAACCTGTTCGTTATGGAGAATTCGGAAGGGCTGCATTCATTGAATGTGAGAAAGATCCGACGACTTACAAGCAAGCCAAAAGGTCAGCTAACTGGGATCTTTGGAAGTTAGCTGCTGAGGCAGAAATGAGGTCACTAGTTGGTAAGGAAACATGGAAATTGGTTCCTAGACCAGCGAGGAGAAAAATCATACGTTGTAAATGGATTTTCAAAACGAAACGCAACATTGATATGTCGATTGATAAGCTAAAAGCTCGATTAGTAGCTTTGGGTTTCTCTCAAATCACAGGCATAGATTTCTCTGAAGTGTTTTCACCGACAAGTCGTCAAGAATCAGTAAGACTATTTTTATCAATCATGGCTAAAAATGGTTGGAAAGGCGTTTCTTTAGACATTAAAACTGCTTTTCTTAACGGTGATCTGGATGAAGAGATATATATGGAACAAGCTGAAGGTTTTATTGACTCTGAACATCCTGATTGGGTATATAAAATTATGAGATCATTGTACGGTTTAAAACAATCACCGAGACAATGGAATATTAAATTACATCAATTTTTAATATCAATTGGTTTTATTCGCTCAAAACACGACCCTTCAATTTATTACAAGATGAATGATGAAGGAAACATCAAATGTTTACTGTGCACTCACGTAGATGATATAGCAGTAACTGGTGAAAATGCTGAAATTCAAGATTTTCGATCTCTTATCAAGAAACGTTTTGAAATCTCGTCAGACAAACCACTATCACATTTTTTATCTCTCAAAATCTCTGAAGTTAAAAATAATATGGTATCAGTTGATCAGTCTCATTACATAACAAATCTTCAAAAGGAATTTATGAAAAACAAAGTCAAATTATTCAACACGCCAAATGATGACAATTTCAAAACGTCAGTTCCTTTCAAAGATGAAGACGAAATTACTGAAAATTCATATTCAAGCTTAATCGGGGGTCTGTTGTGGGTAGCCCAGTGCACCCGACCAGATATAGCTTTTGTTGTAAATCGACTTTCTCAATTTTTAAAGAAACCATCGACAGTTCATTGGGATGCAGCTTTAAGGGTATTAGGTTATTTAGTAAGGACAAAGGATTTGAGGTTAAATTTAGGTGGCAAGGAACTTTCTCCGACGGCGTTTTCAGATGCAGACTGGGCAGAAGACAGACATGAAAGAAAGTCGACGACTGGATACGTTTTTATGTTGGGAAACGGTCCAATCTCGTGGAGATCAAGAAAGCAAAGAACGGTTTCTTTATCTAGTACTGAGTCAGAGTATATGGCTATGAGTGACTCGTGTAGGGAAGCGAGGTGATTGGTTTCTTTGTTGAATGAGCTGAATGTTTCGAAAGAGAAGATGTTTAGGTTATGTGTGGACAATGAAGGAGCAGAGGCTTTGGCGCTTAATCCATCTCACCATTTGAGAACGAAACATATTCATACTCGTTTTCATTTCGTACGTCAATGTGTGGAGGATGGTATAGTGAAATTAATTCATGTATCTTCATCAAAAATGTTAGCGGACATGCTAACTAAAGGACTTTCAAGGGTTTTATTAATCAAACATAGGTTATCTCTCAGCATATATTAAAAACATGTTATCAGCAAGGGGGGATGTTATGATGTGATAGTATGGATGTTGTGTGTTACAAGGTTATGACATCATAGTGTTATGCTAATACATGTTTCTCTCTTATAATATGTTTATAACCAAATTGTTGTTAGGTATATATATTATAGATTGGTTGTCATGATGGATTGGTTTCTTCTTCACCTTTCCTATTCATTCTAATCTTTCTATTCTAGGTAAGTTTATCACTACTATGAAATACTACCTTGCTTATTCATTCTAATCTTTCTATTCTAGTCCGTGATCCATCTTATCAGTAACTGCAAAAATGGGGGATTCATCAATTACCACTCATTTGGACAGTATGTCAGCCGACTACCAACGCTTTAAAGCTCTTGTTACACCCGAGAATCCTCTCACTGCCGATACTATCTTCGCTACATCGGTCAGCTTGTCATTAACTCCCGACTGGCAACCAGTGTTGCATCCTTTGTTGCAACATGATCAAGTCACTTCGACTACGATCTTAAAAGTGTTACGTGAAGAAGCAACAAGACGTGCGATATCATCGGATCATGTTGAAATAATTGCTGCAGCGAAAAATCAAGCATCAAGTGAAATTATATGCTCTCATTGTGGTAAAAGTAATCATGTCATGGAGGACTGTAGAATTTTGAAATCATTGATCGAAAAATACAAGGTTTTGAAGGCTGAGAAAGCGGAACTTGATCGTCCTAGAGTCAAACCAACGAAAAATCAAGTCAGACGTGCTAAAGCGAAAGTAGCTGCTGCATCAGCTTCGAAAGTCTCTTCCAATTCTGAAGTTTCAATAAATATCAATTCAGAAATATCATCGGCTTCTATTGTGAAATGTGGTTCGGTAAAAACAAACAGCTGGCTTATCGATTCAGGAACATCTCAAATGATGACTCCGTTATCTGACTCCATCAGTAACAAGAAAGCTGATGATACGACTATCATGTTGGCGGATGGTTCAAATGTCAAAGCCTCATCAAAAGGAATGACATCTTTACCGTTTCATAATTTTGACGATATCAAATCTCTTTACGTTCCATCCTTATCTGAGACACTTCTTTCGGTTTCGAAACTAGCCGACAAGAATGTTAGCACTGTTTTCAATTCAACAGGAGTATCTTTCGTGAAAGAATGCAAGATAAGTGGAGATGTTATTGGTACTGGTCGTAGACGAGGAAATCTTTATTATCTTAATCAGGAGGTACGTCAACAAAATCTCG